CTTGAAGTGGGGTATAAGTATTATGTGAAAGACCTTATTGCATTTTAAGGTTTTTTTTCTGTAGGAAACTAATCCTGAAGTTTTGTTCTAAAGGCAGTTTGGTCCATTTAAGAAGTGGAGGAAAGGAACTAAAAGAAAGTACTCTTTAATATGTAAACTATTTGTGATGCTGAATTAGAGGGACATTTCCTCTTTAACATTAGATAATCTACCTTTCATTCTTTGGAATGGTGGTTAAAAATCAGATTTTTGCATTTCTTTTCTGGAAAGAGAACAAGTTGCAAACACTTCTGTTGATCAGTATTGTTTTTATCTGTTGTGGCAAAGAATAATGTGAAGTAGAATTTTCAAAATAAACTGAATTTTGGAACACTGAAAAAAATAAAATTTTTTTAAAAATTGTGTTTCTTCTTCTTTGTGGAAATATTGAAATGGAAAAATTCAATAATTGATGAAAAAAGGGTCTTTCTCTAAATGAAGTGGATATAAAGTAGTCCATGTCCATGGTCTCACACATCTTCAGTAATTTCAAAAGATGCTGGTTTGTGCATGAAGAGATTAGTCTCACCACTTCATGGTCATACCTTGTGTGGACCACATAAGGACATTCTTCCTTCTAGGAATTAAACTCATTGAGTTTAAACTTACGGACTTAATGGGCCCATGTGTTGGATTATTTCATTTCTACCTTTTTCAAAAGATAAAGACATTCTTTGAAAATGTTCCCATATGAGCAGTTGTAACGCGAATTCAATTTTACTCTATTATTACTATGTCCTTTGTTTCCTGAAAGGATGAGCCACTCACTATTTTGAACTATTTTTTCTCCCTCAGAATTCTCTAGATTTACACATTTTCTTATCCTGAATGTAGTATTTGCAAAGTGGCCATGGAGAACCCTCGATTTTAGTCAGTTTCCTAATAGGGTGGAGGCCGTGGATGAGGTACTGGGATGGAGTTGCCCAGTAGCTCAGTTGATCAGCTCACATCAGCGCCAGGAAGAATGCTGTCAGGTTCGGTTTTCAGACACGAGGCCATTGCCCGGGACGCTGGTTTCTCAGGCAGCTGTACGACCACCTGCCGCCACCACAGGAAAGCACGCCTGGACCAGCGTCTGGGCTTGCGTTTGTGGCCACAGAAATGCAGTCTTATCGACACGTGCAGAGTGTGTCAGGTTTTCCAGAGACCAGCCGGCATGACAGTTTCCTCCTTTGTCTTAAGAATGACAACTGTGCAGCAGGCCCGGCGGTGGTCAGCATTGTGGGCCTTCCCTGTCTCCATGGGGACATGAGTCTGTCGCCTGCCGGGGGCCAGGAAGATGGTCTCCGGGCTCAGTTCATAAAGGCCCCCGATAACCCCGAGAAAGCGTCTTGATCCCACAACCGCAGATGGCTCCCTGATCATTAACAGAGTCAAGTCGTCCATCTTGAGGGCCCCACACCCCTTCGCTGTCCGGGTTGAACACCGCTGCTTTCTCCCAGCTCCAGTGGTTGGAGGACAGTCACGCAGCCTTGTCTTTCCTAGCCTGGACATTCTGCCTTCGGGGTGCAGATGTTGCTTGTCACTTCTTAAACGTAAACTCGTGTGCTGGTTTGATGAGTGGCAAGTCCTAAAAGGCAGGTTGATCTTTCCCAGAACTGTGAGTCTGCCCCTGTAGGTACTTTTTATAACCAGTAGTTATTCTCAGGGGAACTTCGATCAGGTTGTGATCGATCAGGTTTTCTTTTCTATGGGCCAATACGGTAATTGTGTTTTTAACACTGACCCAAAGTGGCAGTGTACCCGAGTCTCTCTGCAGGGCCTGGTGCCCGACACTCAGTATCACGTGTCCCGCGTGCCCACCTCGTGCTGCAGTGAACACTAATCAGCCTGAGTCATCAGTCTTAACAGCCTGGCTAGCTACTTGTACCTCTGCCTCCTCATCCATTCCTGGTCATGCTGACGGCTTTGCTTTAAAGCACACCTTCCATTCTTAGCTGCTGCTCCTGCTGCTCTCGGCCACGCGTCGCAGATGTGCACCTTGCAGCCAGTAGCAGACCCCGAGTGGGTGGGCCCTAGCCCGAGAACGTGCCTGCGGGGGGCTGCCTGCCGCCCCAGCTGCAATGTGATGATTGTGCATCTTGGGAAAATTCAGTAGGCAATGGGAAGAGAATTGATTTGGGCAGCGTATTCTCCTACCTTCCAGCAATGTGACATAGGAAGCTTGTTTTGCCACATAGGAAACCGGATGGAAGACACAAGTGGTCCGCGTTTGGTGTTGGTTTGACTTGAACATTGGTGACATGCCTTCACTTTGAGTGTTACCCTCGCGGTAGCACATGCCCTTGCATGTCAGCATGAGAACGTGGTTTCTAGTCCAAGGTGCTCTAGCTGCCGGCGCTGCCATCACCGTGCATGAGTGCGGCTGCCCGGTGTGCGGTCAGGAGACACTTCCAGGCCGATGGGCTGTTGTCATCACTGTTGGTTTGCACATGAAGTTGTCACCAACCTATCCGTCCTTCCGAGATGCCATTCACCCTAAAAATATGTATTGTGTTTGATACATTTGTCTCAAGTATGGTGCTTCGTTTGCTTGTTTTAAACCAAAGAAGGGGGCTGGTGATGTTTGCGTTACCCTTTCTGTTTTACACCTTTCTTTGAGGACTCCCTTGTGAGAAAGGAAGGCTACTCCTGCTAGAGATGCGTCAGCAGACATGGACCGCCGGGTTCCAGAAGTGTCAGCCTTTGAACTGGACATTGTTCTCACCCTTTTCTCCTCTCAGTATTCCTCTTGTTGGGATTCTTTTTTTTTTTTTTTTTTAAGATTTTATTTATTTATTTGACAGATCTCAAGTAGGCGAAGAGGATGAGGGGAGGGGGGAAGCGGGGCTCGATCCCAGGACCATTTATCATGACCTGAGCCAAAGGCAGAGGCTTTAACCCACTGAGCCACCCAGGCACCCCCTCTTGCTGGGATTCTTGAGTGTGACCGTCTCAAAATAAGACAAGCATTAGTTTTAGCATTCGCAGAAGAAGAACGTTAGAGTGTGCAGGCATCTGGGTGCTATGCTATGCTCGGGTCATCTCTTTGGGCTTCTTTTTGTTCCTGGTAAAGTACTGCGACGGGAACATACTATCCTCAGTAAACTATAAGTTACCAGAGAAAAGATCTTTGTGTTAGAGCATAATTGATTCAAAGTAGCACACACCATTTTAGTCTGAGAAGCATGTACATATATTTTTTTGACCCATTAAATTTTTCTTTTGCTTCACGTAATAGAATCTTGGGTCAGTTGCTTCGATTCTAAATGGGACGTCACTGACCCTTTGTGATCCTATGGCCCCCAGAAGCAGCAAAACAATTTTTTTTTTCAGTATTTAATAAAGGATGACATTCATATCTAACAATGAATAAGGAAATGTGCTTAAAAGCCATTTTACAGTCTGGACTGTTTTGGAAGTCTGTCTAGGCTTGTGCTCTGGAGTCGGCACAAGGGCGAGCCAAAAGCAAGGATATGAGGGCTGTGGGCCCCGCATCTTTAGCTGTTGGGGTTTATTGGAAGTAGGAGCCATTGTGTTCATTGCATTTGAGCCTGGGTACAAGACTGGTCTGAGCTAGCCTCTTGTTGCAGCCGTCACCCCCTCGCTAGAACATTCTCTCTCTTTCTTCAAGAAATACGTTAAGGTAATTTTTTTTTTTTTTTTTTTTAAGCATCATGACAACCCTTACTCAGACCCTTAATGAAGCTCACCTTGGTTTTCATCGAGATGAAACCATAAAAATCAAAATAGAAACTTAAAATTGAATGTAAGGTAAACCAAGGAAAGTAATTTTCAGAGTTACTTCATGTATTCTTCTTGTGTGAAATTGGCTCGTTTTCCAGATTTAAAGAAAAAAAAATAGATGCTAGGAAAGGAAGCTGCTTGAGAAATCAAGGGGGAAAATTATTTTTATTAGATTTGGCAAAATGGATTTTTAAATTTTGTGATGTATTCTTCATTCCCTACAAGTTCTTTTTTTTTTTTTTTTTAAAGATTCTATTTATTTGACAGACAGAGATCACAAGTAGGCAGAGAGAGAGGAAGAAGCAGGCTCCCCACCGAGCAGAGAGCCCGACGCGGGGCTCGATCCCAGGACCCCGAGATCACGACTCGAGCTGAAGGCAGCGGCCCAACCCGCTGAGCCACCCAGGCGCCCCAATTCCCTACAAGTTCTAATGATTCATTTATTCTTTCTTCATTAAAATGATATCAATTGATTTCAGCTTTTTGGGAACTTGTAGAATGAGACATGGTGTTATGTTTGTGCAAAGATTATTAAACTTTAAGTTCTTTTTTTTTTTTTTTAAGATTTTATTTATTTATTTGACAGAGAGAGATCACAAGTAGATGGAGAGGCAGGCAGAGAGAGAGAGAGGGAAGCAGGATCTCTGCCGAGCAGAGAACCCGATGCAGGACTCGATCCCAGGACCCTGAGATCATGACCTGAGCCGAAGGCAGCGGCTTAACCCACTGAGCCACCCAGGTGCCCCATAAACTTTAAGTTCTTAATGTAGAAATTTTCCTTTGGCTCATTAGTAATATCTCACAGGTCTAATTTTTATTACAAATTTGGTCTTCATTAGAGCTGTTTAAAACTCATTCCAGATGGCACAAGTCTCTCCAAATAAGTCAATGTTAAAATAAATTTTTGTTATTAACTTACTTAAAAAAAAATTAATGTAAAGGAATCCCACATTTCTGTTTCTACCAATTAGACTATTTTATTAGGAAGTCTTAATATATAGACCAACCACTTTGGTTTATTGGTTTATTTGGTTTATTGGCTGAGTACGTTGTGATTGCAAACAGGTAGAAACTACACATCAATTTTCTATCAGTCCGACGGTGCCAGGTGGTATCCTTACTCAGTTAGGAATAGAAGGTGTTTAATAAAGCTTAGTTGTATCCCCCCTGGGGCTTGGCGAGTTGGATCCCATCCTTGCTCATAAACTCCAATGGTGATTCTTTCCTTTTCACAGTGCTCCAGCTGAGGCTGCAGCAGAGGAGGACAAGGGAGCAACTGGTGGACCAGGGCATCATGCCACGTAAGATTTCAGCGCCGCTATCACCTCCAGGGTGACGTAGCACAATGCACGTGCCCAAGGAGAACCTGGAGCACACTCTGCTTTGGGCTGTGTCCATTGGGTCCAAATACAATTACCGCACACACCGAGAAGGAAAACCAGGCATCGGCAGTGCCAGCCTAAGAGAGTCATCTCAAATACATTCTGAAAGCCAGATGCAGCTTAAAAGATGGACCTGAATTCTGTATTACATAAAGAAAACTGGGAAACCGGGTTAAGATCAGGTCTTACTTCATGCATGAACATTTGTTTTAGTTTTGAAATAATTGAAGTCATCTCTCCATAATAGGTCTGCTGTTACTTAGACTTGCAAGAGTCGGATGATAAAATTAATTCAAAAACCTTGTTCTACTTTAATTCAAAATAATTACCTTTGATACAATATAGTGTATCGTCTGGAATGAAGGGCATCTCAGTTATAGGACTGATAAGCATTCTACTTATAATTAATACACCCTTTCTTGCCCACATACACCTAACTTCCAAATATCTTGATGCCTCCTTCCTTCATTTTTAAAAGTTGATTAATTTTAAGAGTATTTGCCCATTGTCTTCTTACCTTTACTAAGTTGGGAGGTGATTTTATATTCTAGAGGGGAAGACTGGTTGCTTTGGTGTTAGGATTATTTATATGAGTGTTTATCTAAAAATTGATTTCTCTAAAAAGTAACTTACTTGGCTTTAAAAGACTAAAGAGAAGTTACAAACCATACTTATACTTCCCTGTTGTCTGACTCATTGATATTACCCCCCCCTTTTTTTTTTGGTTCCTAGAACAATTTTTCTCTGCAGTATATATATTTCCCAGTAAAAAAATTTTTTCTGGATTACTATTAATTATCTAAATATTTTAAATCTCATATTATGATAGACACAAAAGCTGGCTTGGTAATCTGCCAGACTTCTCTACCACTACATTCCTGATGATGAACCAGTCAGATAGTATCGAATTAGAATATTTAAGACTCTAGCTGGTCCCTAGTCAGACCTGTTTGGGCTGGGCCGCTGGGAATCTTTGCAGTGTCAAGTGCCAGAGCTGAAAATAATTCTGCCAAGAGCCGACGGGCCAGGTTTTGGAGGTGACAGCCCAAGTAAGCGTAGCCCAAATCCCATCCACATTCTCTGACTGCCTAGAGTTATAAGTAGACGTACACACAAAAGATTTTGCAAAGATAATTGATAGAAATCCTATAGTAAGTGATGTTTTAGCGAAACACTGCTTATCCTCATTCTGGGATTCTGGAATATTTAAAGTACTAATAGTTAACATGTTAAAGAAACACTATGTCTTTAGAGTAAGCTGTATTGTTATACAATAGAAAAAGCACGAAACTTTCTCATTCACAATTCTAGATTTAAGTTCTACTTTGACCACAATCTAGTTGTATGACTTCAAGCAGTCCTTGAACCGCTTTGAGCCTTTTATCTGTCCTGGGGCTCATACCTGCCTTGCAAAGTCACTGTCATGGCCAACAGCGTGTACCTGTGATGGACCACAGTGCATCGGCTGGGAGCGCATGCAGTCACAGTACAGGTGGCTCAGCTCTGCTAGAGGGAAGTGCAGAGTGCCCTCGGGTTCAAGATTAGATCACCCGTAGGCTGCATATCCTAAGGACATTCGAGCTTCTTCCAGCATCTTATAGGATCACTAAGAGCAAAGACCTGTCAAGGAATCACCACACAGTTCCCTTGGTGATGGTGATTTGGCCCAACTGTTGGTTGGAACCATCTGACCTGGCATTTGCATTGTCATGGTTTATACAACTCTATTTTACTGTTCACTTGTTTTATTTGTGAAGACACAGTTTTCATTCTGAAACATTTAAGTTTCCAATTTCGCACATCTCCTAAAGGAACTAGTAATAAACGGAACCGTAGATACAAACTAATAAGATGAGGAGGGAACATCAACATAATGTACCCTAACGTTTGACTGAAATATTAACGCCTCTGTCTCTGCTCCCGAAATGATTCCTGTTCTTCTCACAGCTTTGAAGAGCCCAGCTGCATTCCATGAGCAGATAAAAAGCTTGGAACGAGCCAGAGTAAGAAATTCCAGTTTCAAACGTTCTCCTTCTCGGCTTCTCTCTTTTATTTTAAAGTACCTGTGGGCAAGTAGCAGTCTTAACTTATAAGTATTGTCAATAGAGAAAATGCAGTGTATTTTCAGGACCCGTGGCGTGCAGAGTAATATATTCTCAGGTAGTTTTATCTTGGGAGTTTGTAGAAAATGCATGACGTTCAAATTTTGTTCTTTTAAGACTTGTAACTAGTTTTGTACATAAAGGACAAAGCACACCTCGCTTTGTTGCTTTCAGGGCATACCAACAGTTTTTAGAATTATGATGGAGTAGTTTTGCCATTTGCAACCCCGGCAGACCAACAGCCCGGTCTTGTCCTGACTCCCCATCTTTAGGTAGTTTCTTGACCGGGTCTGTGGTAGCTGTACCTTTGAAGGGCAGGAGGATTTGCTGAATAAAAAAATGTAGCTAGGTTCAGCCCTGTTTTACTCTTTGAGAGGTCTCTGTCCTATTTGCACATTGATTTCATGTTTATTATTTTTCTCTAAAACGACCCTTGTGCACATTCGTTCTTTTTCCTTTAGGCAAAACTTCTGTCATGCAATACAAAAATAAGCATGTTCCAAAAATTCCATAGGAATTTTCCCAGAACTCAATGATAATCTCTTAGCATCTTATAAAACAGAAAACCCATTTGAAAGCCTTATTGTTCAAGTTGAGAACTGTTCTGAATAAGAAAATATCATCAAGGATATGAATTTACCAACAAACATACATTAGGATTTTAAAGAAATTTGTAATTTAGGTGGATTTTTCTGTGTCCTGAAGTGTAGATGTTTAGCTATTTAAATGATCAAAATCTGATGTCTGTTCAAATTATAAGCTTTTGCCTTCTCCAGGTTTTAAAATAAAAGTCTGTAGAGTGCTTACTTTATGCCAGCGTGCACTTCAAATCCCTGTACAGTTTTGAAGGCTGCAATTTAAATTATGTATTGGATAATAGCTTTTCAAAGTACTAATTTCTACTCTTTACTTCCCAAAATCATGACCAAAGAGTGTACAATTTATTTAAATGGAGTACCTTGAGAGAAAAATGTACAACCACAATAAGTCATAAACAATTTATGGTAAGACTTTCTCTCTCTCTCCCTCTCTCTCCCTTTTTTTTAAAGACTGAAAACTTTTTGAAGCATAAGATTCGGAGCCGACCAGATCGTTCTGAACTTGTCAGGATGCACATTTTAGAAGGTAAAATTTTTATTTCTGCTTGTTTTGCTGCATTTTCTCAAGAAAAGAAATGAGAATTCCACCACTGCTGTTTTTGTTTTTTTTTTTTTTCACTTTAATAACTCTTCACCCAACAGACTGGCATCCTCCAAATTGGATAGCAACATGAAGACCCAAAGCTAAAATCTTATGTTAGATACGTGGGGAAGGGGCATTTGAATCTCCAAATAACCAATTTGTGGACTCTTCCCCCGCCAGCTGGTGTCATAGATATCTCTACCATCTGTTCTGGAAAACATTTTTGGTCCAGAGGATTTCTTCATCAGTGTGGAACATATGTCCATTAAGTCAGTGGCCACGAGTCAAACCCCAAATTTTCAGCTACTAGACCCTGTTATATACCTGTACAGTGCCCACACCTAACGTCTTATGTTTGTTGCTACTTACCCACAACAATCCCTCTCAATCTGACTGTTAACATAAACACCCTCCACTCAGCCCCCAGGTTTTCTCTCTGGTCTGGCTTCATCACCTGTGAAGTGATGGCAGGGACAGTTCTGTTCCATCTCTGGTGAGACATGTGGCTCAGGCCAGGATATTTTTCTCTCTAAGACCATATTTGAAAGCTGGTTTCCCCACTATAAGTTCCCCAGCTACATTTTCTTTTGTTGTTTTGCTTCTCTGATTTATTGCTCAAGACCAGAAGCTTGACCCTGTGAGACTAGAGTGTGTTCAACCCTGAGATGATACAGAAAGAATCTGAAAATTTCTCAAAAGATTGAGAGACAGTTCTCAAGTAGAAGGACTATTATATTTGTTCTTCTGGCCTAATGATAGAGTCAATATTAAAATCACATCGGTATTACAAAGTAAAGTATTATATCGTGGCTCAACATAAGAAGTAGGATCCTAAAGGTCAGACATGTCCAAAAACCTTCTGGAAGCACTAAGGTTGCCCTCATTTGCGGTGGTGGTTCCTTGGCTGGTGAGCTAGACACCAGAGACCCAATAAATGAGCCAGATGGATGCCTGCCTGCATGAAGCTGACATTCTGATGGCACAGACAGATGACAAGCAGGCAAAACAAATGAATCACAGATTGTCAAAAGTGCTCGATAGGTAAGAGTTGGGCTGCTATGATAGGGACTAGGCACAGGCTGACACCACAGTAAGGACATTGTAAAAAAATTGCAAGATCAAGTTGAGATCTATAGCCCGAAGTAGGGTCTCTTCTACTCCAGAGAATCTGTGATTATGGGACAGTCTTTCTATCTGGGGTGGGAGGTGAGAGGTCTTTGCCTTTCACTACTTTCGGTTATGTTCTCAGCAGTCCGTTGGACTAAGAGCCTTTCCAGAACGGCAGTGATAGGGTCCGAACAGCTACCTGCTATCAGGGATAAATGAATCTCTAAGAGGCAAATGTATCAGTAAGTTAACTGGACAAGTGTCTCCTTCTGTGCCTACTTGACCTATAAAGGACATTTTTTGAAGGAACAATGCTGTCTGTTTCAACTTGCCTTCTCTAACTGTAACTGGCTTTATTAATACCATTAAAACCAAGGCAAATACAGTTAACTATCCAAAGGAATCATATTTGCTTTTTTAAAAAAAAGGTAACTCAACATTTAAAAACCTAATCGTGTATATGAATGAACCGTAAGTGATGTTTTTAGGACATCTGTTCTCAAGTTGGGATTTTTGAAGTAAGAAAGAATTTATCATCAGTAATTTAAAAGATAACTTCCAACCACCCCTCAACTTATTTTAACATTATCCCAATTTTGATCGAATTGGATGCTTGGCAGGCAAAAGTCTAAATTATTTTTCTGAAGTTCAGCTAAAATCCAACCTCAGCACTGGGAGATGAGGAGATGATAAGACCAAGAACAGAAACATAAAAAATACCAGCCTCTCATTTTTTGCTTTTCCAGACATATTGCTGATATCACTTGGTTGTGTTGATGGGAAAGAGGAAAAAGACTGTCCTACCTAGATGTTAACAAAGCATTTAAACATCAACCTGAGAGTGATCTGCGCGATCATCGTCTTTCTGGCATAAACCACAGCTGTCATACATACATCATCTACAGTTTCCATTTAGGGTGGAAAAAACAACATAAAGACACTTGAAAAGCAATCTGAGTTGAAAATCCTAGATTTTGTCATTTTCCCCCAAGCAGTGTAGTTGTTAAATTGCCCTAATTTTTTTAAGATTTTATTTATTTATTCGACAGAGATGACCAGAAGTCAGGCAGGTGGGGGGGGGGGGCAGGCTTCCCGCTGATCAGAGAGGCCAATGCGGGGCTCGATCCCAGGACTCTGAGATCATGACCTGAGCCAAAGGCAGAGGCTTAACCCACTGAGCCACCCAGGTGCCCCAAATTGCCCTAATTTGATACCAGTTTATTTTTTTAATGACTCACCTTTATCAAATCATCCCAAAGTATTTAAATTAGGTTCCCAAGAAATAATTTTATTTTCAAAGCTTATTATTTTCCTATAACATTTAATTCAACTATGTATTGACATCAGATAGGAACTGTTTTGTGGACAATCAAGGTTGACTTTCGGTAAGCGTATAACTCAACTGGTGGAAAGAAAAGTGCTCAGCTGTGCTGGAGAGTAGTCTATAGGCCATGGGCTTTTGGCGAGCTTTGGGCTTCAGCCGGGATATTTTATCTGCCAAAAAAAAACTGAGATTACTTATGGGGAATCTCATTCAAAGACCTACTATATACGAGACAAATAACGGTCAACTCAGAATTTTGGGTTAAACACCTCACCATTTTTTTTTTATCAGTTATAAACATTTTTAAGAACAATGTTATAAAATGTTAATGAGAGGTACCAGAAATGCAAGTCACTGACAGAATTACCCAAATGAATGAGTTACGATACTTACGTTAGTTTTGCCTCTGTTGTACAACCCATCCATTTGTAAGTAGATGAGTTGAGGCTTCTTTATGACCAGTAGTTACCCTGTAATTAGATATTTCAGAGTTACATATTCCGAACTAAACCCAGATTCTTAATTATGATGACCGACTCTGAGACACATAGGGATCAGTCTGAGAATACGATCTGTTTGTAGCTCTTCCCATTAACTCCTGCAGAAAAGCTTATAACCTAAGTAAGATCCAGTGGCCCCCGTTTCTAGGCACTGGCTTTGCAGTGCAGCCAAATCTAAAACTGTACTTCTTGAGCCGCGGACCACATCTCCCTTGTCCATCCTCCATATCTCCAGCACCTGATAAATGTGAGTGTGGCCCTCCTGCCAGAAATGAACAGTAGCAGTACCCCGGTTCTGGGCTTCAGTCCATGTTAATTTGAGTCTGAGGGCATTGTATAGACAATATAAAGTGTCCAGGACTAAAAATACATAAATGTATACCAGAGCATTTTCAGATGGTCATTTTCTCTGTCCGTAAATACATCGAGAACACATAAATATGAATTCTTTTAAGCCAGTTTAAATTAAATTAAATTCTCTTGACCTGAAATAACATTATGGAATAGAGTAATTCAAGTAATGGTTAAAACTGTGTTTCTTCTTTTAGAGACATTTGCAGAGCCGTCCCTGCAGGCCACTCAGATGAAGCTGAAAAGAGCTCGACTGGCGGATGATCTGAATGAAAAGATTGCTCAAAGACCTGGTCCTATGGAGCTGGTAGAGAAGAACATCCTTCCTGTAGACTCCAGTGTTAAGGAGGCAATTATAGGTAAGACCCTAAAAATTTATGCTTTCTGCGAGAAAGAGGAACTTAGAAGTTTAAAATAAATTTAATCCAAAAAGCCAGCACCAGTCATGAGTGTGGTTTTCTGCGTGAAGTAGAAGTTGATTAACACTTGGACCACTTCCCATTATTATTATTTCTTTATGTATGCTAAGACTGGCATCTCTCACCAGTTAATACAAGGTTTCCTCTTGTCACATCTGAGGTTGATGTCCTTAGGTTCCGATTTCATTATGATGTTTTCTAAGTTAACTTTTTTACATTACTCTGTTGAATTCCTCTTGTGTTGTTGAAGATTTTTACAGACTTTTCCATTCTGTTTACTTCTAGGAAAGATAAATCGCTTGTTCCGTGTTAGTTCAGCAAAGTAAACAGCACATGAGTACAGATGTGTTTATTAAAAGGGGTAATATCTGTCCTTTCATCCTGATCCTCTTATACTTAGTTAATAATGTTGCCAACTCCTCCCCCCACCCCCAACACACACACATACATGTACTCTTTTCTGGCATAAGTTTTAGCAGAGTAAAAAATCTGGAATAATACCACTTACTCAGCAAGCAGTTTTGAAAAGTTAATATCCTACTATAAAAACTGTTATAATTTCCATTAGTCTGGGGACTTGGTATTTTGCATTAGTATGAGTTTAAATCTTAGGCAGTTTCTAGTCAGTGATCCTAAGTAGTACATTCAGTGATTATTCCATTCAGTCCCAAAGAAATGGAGCCCCAAAAGGTAAGACGTCGGTATAACAGGGCCTCTCCCAGAAGTAGGACTCATCAACAGACACCGAGTCATGGCCCCATTTTCTCTCACACCTGTTAATGTTTTTTTAACAGTTGTATCCAAATCAGGATCCACACAAGGGCCACACGTTGTCTTTGGCTGATGTCTCTCTTCAGTCTTAATCTCCCGTGTGGGTCTTCCTCCTCATCTCTTTTCCTACCGTGTATCTGTTGGGGAGCAGGCCTTGTTGTGTCCTCTAGCCGGTGCACACGCTGGATCTTACTGAATGCATTCGCATTCCCAGTGTCACTAAAAACTTTTCTTGTCTTCTGTACTTCTGGAAACTGGGAGTGGGATCCAAAGGCTTGATCTGGTCAGGTCTGACTGCTCCCCCAAGTACTCATCATAGGTAGCAGTGCGTTCTTTCCCTGGGAAGTACATTATGTTCAATTTCTTTTTTTCCTTTTCAGCCAGCTGCTTCTGTTCTTGTAATAAACAGTGTTTCTCCTTCTTTATCATTTTAAGCTTGGTATCCCAAGGCCAAGATAAGCTAAAAATCGTTTCTCTCTTTAGGTGTTGGGAAGGAGGACTATCCTCAGACTCAGGGTGATTTCTCGTTTGACGAAGACAGCAGTGACGCCTTGTCTCCAGACCAGCCGGCCAGCCAGGAGTCACAGGGGTCAGCCGCGTCCCCAAGTGAGCCGAAAGTTAGCGAATCTCCGTCTCCTGTGACTACAAGCACTCCAGCCCAGGTAGCGCCTATCTTGCTTCTCCCGCAACCAGACAGCGCCTTGTTTTATACAGCGGGTAATTGTGCTGCTTCTTCCAGAAGAGTCTAATAGACATTTTTTTCATCTGTGACACAAACACTGTTAACATTTTTTCAGTAGATTCTTACATTTTATTTCTGTTCTATATCCACATTTTTTATGTTACAAATAGTTGTATAATTTGCTTCTTAAAAATTTTCTCATAACTTTTTTGGGGATATATGATTCACATACTATAAAGTATACCTTCCCCCTTTTTTTCCTACCATCGTAACCATTTTAAAATGGGCAGCTGAGTCGTGTTAAGTACATTGTTATGCAACAGATCTCCAGAACCTTTTTGTCTTGCAAAACTGAAACTGTATCCATTAAACAGCAGCCCCCAGCCCCTTCCTCCAGGCCCTGACAATCCCAATTCCACTTCCATTTCTAAGAATTTGACTACTTTAGGGTGGGGGGATGGGTGAACTAGGTGATGGGGATTAAGGAGAACACTTACCACCATGAGCACTGAGTCAAGTACAGAATTGCCGAATCACTGTATTGTACCCCTGAAACTAATACAATATTGCATGTTACCTATACTGGCATTTAAATAGATACATATATACATACATACATATGAATTTGACTACTTCAGATATTTCATATAAACAGAATCATACAATATTTGCCTTTCTGTGACTGGCTTATGCACTTAACAAGTGTTCATGGTCCGTTCATGTTGTAGGTTGTAACAGGATCTCCTTCATTTTTAAGGCTGGATAATATTCTAGTATTTGGACATACCGTATTTTGTTTATCTACTTGTCAGTGGGTCCTGCGTTGCTTCCATGTCTTGGCTATTGTGAAGAATGGTGCTAGCCATGCTTGGAAATACCTCTTCGAGATCCTGCTTTCAATTCTTTGGGTCATATACCCAGAAGTGGGATTGATGGGTCATCTGGGAATTCTATTTTTAACTTATGAAGGAAGCTCCGTACTGTTCTCCGTAATATGGAGAATTTCACACTCCCACCAACAGTATGCAAGGGTTTCAGTGTCACCGCATCCTCACGGACACTTACTAATTTATGTTCCTTTGAATAGCAGCCATTCTGGTGGTATGAGATGATATCTAATTGTGGGTTGTTGTTTTTTTTTAAGATTGTATTTATTTATTTGACAGAGAGCGACACAGCGAGAGAGGGTACACAAGCACAAGGAGTGAGAGAGGGAGAAGCAGGCTTCCCGCCGAGCAGCGAGCCTGATGTGGGGTTCTCGATCCCAGGACCCTGAGATCATGACCTGAGTGGAAGGCAGACGCTTAAGGACTGGGCCCCCCAGGCGCCCCTCTCATTGTGATTTTGATTGGCCTTTCTCTAATGATTAGTGCTGTTACGCATCTTTTCATATGTTTGTTGGCCATTTGTGTATCATCTCTGGAGATATATCTATTTGAGTCCTTTGCCCATCTTTAATCAAAGTATTTGTTTTTCTGCTATTACGCTGCAGAAGTTACTTGTATATTCTGGGTATTAACCCCTTTTCAGATACATGATGAGCAAATATTTTGTCCCATTCTTTGCGTTGCCTTTTTGCTCTACTGATAGTGTCCTTTGAGGCACATAAGTTTTTAAGTTTGGTACAGTGGCATTCGTCTGTTTGGGGGTTTGTTACCTGTGCATTAGGTATTCTTCTAAGAAACTATGGCCAGGGGCGCCTGGGTGGCTCAGTGGGTTAAAGCCTCTGCCTTCGGCTCGGGTCATGATCCCAGGGTCCTGGGATGGAGCCCCGAGTCGGGCTCTCTGCTCAGCAGGGAGCCTGCTTCCCTTCCTCTCTCTGCTTGCTTGTGGTGGTCTGTCAAATAAATAAATAAAATCTTTTAAAAAAAGAAAAGAAATTATGGCCAAATCCAGTGTCATGAAGCTTTTTCTCTATGTTTTCTTCTAGGATTTTTATAGTCTTGGGTCTTACATTTAGGTCTTTTAATCCATGTTAATTTTTGTATATGGTGTAAGAGAAGGATCCATCTTCATTCTTTTGTATGTGGATATCCAATTCTCCCAGCATCATTTATTGACAAGACTGTCCTTTCCACCTTGGCACTTGTGTTGAAGGTCACTGACCATATACATAATAATCTAAGGACTCAGAATTCTGTTGCATTGGCTTATGTGTTTGTCTTTATGCCAGGACCACACTGTTTTGATTACTGTCACCTTGTAGTAAATGTTGAAATCAGGAACTGTGAGACCTCCAACTTCGTTCTTTTTCAAGACTGTTTTGGCTACTTGGGAGTCCCTGGAGATTCCGTATGAGTATTAGGGGGGATTTTTCTATTTCTGTAAAAAAAAAATGGCACTGCAAAAATTCGCCCTTTTGAAATGTCTCATTCAGTGGTTATTCGCAGAGTCACAGAGCTGTGCAACTCTCACCACCATCTCATCACTTCTTGGTAAGATTAATTTTTTCCTCTTAAAAATGAAATTCACTATGAAAGCTTAATGGTGAATTTAGTTACCGTAGTCTAGTGGTCCTCAAATTGCCTGTAGCGAAAGACTAGTATGTGTTTGCTTTTTAAGTAGTTTGTTTAATTTCCAACTCATTGTGGGCTAATCTTCTTGCGAAATAATGCAATAGTAGGGTAGCCGGGCGCCTGACTGGCTCAGCCACACAGCCTGCGACTCTTGATCTCGGGTTGACAGTTTGAGCCCCATGTGGGGTGCAGACATTACTTTAAAAAAAAAAAAAAAAGTTGTGGGGTAGCATCAAATCCGATATTTCATATAAACGGAATCAGAGGTCCACAGATCACACCTGGAGTAACTCTGTCACAGATTGCCCTTTGTTTCTTGTTTGCCTGAACTGAGGTTTTTCATATGCTAATTCATCATTATTTCGTGCTGCACGTTTAATTCCATGGCTTACACACATTTTTCTAACATCCTTATTCAATTTTTTTTTTTTAATATTTGACCTAATATAAAGTTCAGGGCCAGTGCAGGGAATATCTTTTTGGTTTTTCTTTTTTTTTTTTAAGATTTTATTTATTTATTTGACAGAGAGATCACAAGTAGGCAGAGAGACAGGCAGAGAGAGAGAGAGAGAGAGACAGAGGGAAGCAGGCTCCCTGCTGAGCAGAGAGCCCAATGAGGGACTCGATCCCAGGACCCTGAGATCATGATCTGAGCCGAAGGCAGCAGCTTAACCCACTGACGCACCCAGGTGCCCTTCTTTTTGGTTTTTAAAAGTTACATTTACAGGGACAACTGGGTGGCTCAGATGGTTAGGTGTCTGCCTTGGGCTCAGGTCAGAATCGGGTCCTGAGTTCAAGTCCCACCTCAGGCTCCTTGCTCAGCAGGGAGCTGGCTTCTCCCTTTGCCTCTGCTCCTCCCCCTACTCATGTTCACTCTCTCTCTCCTCTATCTCTGACACATAAATGAAATCTTTACAAAATAAAAAATAAAAGTTATATATACAGATACTTAAGAGAAAATTAGGCTCGGGGCGCCTGGGTGGCTCAGTGGTTAAAGCCTTTGTCTTCGGCTCATGTCATGATCCCAGGATCCTGGGATCGAGCCTCACATCGGACTCTCTGCTCAGCAGGGAGCCTGCCTCCTCCTCCTCCTCTCTCTCTCTCTGCCTGCCTCTATGACTACTTGTGATCTGTCTGTCAAATAAATAAAAATCTTTAAAAAAAAAAAAAGAAAGAAAAAAAATTAGGCTCAAGATACCTTTCTGGCTGGCTTTATTCCAAAATGTGTTGTGACATATTGTGTCCTGAATTATTTTTCAGAACACACAGATAAACACCAGAGGATTGAGTCCTATAGGAAAGTATTCAAATAAAAGATATATTCCCTATCCCTCAAAAAAAGAATTAACACATAATATCTAGGTAAAGAATGATTTTCCAGGTTCTTTCATTCCTGGTGCTAAAACACTAATGATTTCACACTGTGGACAGTATAATACACTACCATGTTCTTCCTTCAAAACGTACATTTTAACCACCCCCCCCGCCAAGAAAGCTCTTTGAAATATGTATTTCTGTGTGGTCTGTAAGAGACTAACACTGCCTTTTCTTGGACTTTTTTCTTTTCAATTCTGATCAAAGTACAGCTGGAAAGGAATTTGTCACAACATTAATGGAACACACATCACATATTGGAGCTCAATTTATTTTATGCCTAAGCAATTCTTGAACAATGGAAAGCTGCTGAAAATTACCAACAGCCTGCCACATGTGGGCACCAGGAGCTGTTTCACTGGTGCTTTTAATCCAAAGACTTTTTTCTCTATGCGATTTCTGAAGCCATTTAATTAATCATTTATGTTAAGCCCCCACATGCTTACCCGTAAGTGTGACCTGATAGGATCTGTGTTCATTTTCACAGTCTGTGCTATAGGGATGACCCCTGTGCCAAACTGGAAATAGTGCTGATAGGAAACCTTGTGGGTCAGTTACTCAGCGTAACTGAAGTGTGTGAGGACTAGCTTAGGGGAACTTGGGGTACTTTTTCCCATTGTATCTAGTAACCTCCAGGTAGATGACCTTTTCCTAATAATGTAGAAACCTTGGGTTAAGCGAACAAAGAGGATGAGCAAGGTCAGGTAAGCCATGTACACGTGTACTACATCATTAGTATGAGACTATGTTTTATCTCAAATGCTTATCAATAAAGGAGTGAATTAGGCCATCCAAGATATAGCTCTAATTTCTCCTGTTACCCTTTCAGACTAGCTTCCTATTACTTGCATACCAAGAGGATGCTATCGCTGGTAATGCTTTAGTTTTGAGCTGGGTTCCAGCATTAACCACAAGGTCGTGTTCCATCCTAGTTCCTAATTCCCTTTTCCCATGACCAGTAGGAAAGTGCCTAAAGTGTATATTTGACAGAATAGGCCTTTCCTGTTTATTTATGAACAAATCAAGGTTTATTGACTATAAATGAGATGAGGGATAAAAAATACCTGTCAGCATGTGCCAAGCACTCCTT